TCCATCGGCACTTTTGGCCTTCCACTCTCCCGAGTTACCTGGTAGCTATGCCTAGTGGACCCCAACAGATCCATGTACTCCTAAGGCCCTGTATAAATCTGATCACCCTGGACTTTATAGCTGTCACTATATAGCACACCCCAATTACTGAGAACTTCATTGCAAGAGTACAAATAGAAGTTGGATCCTTCTGCTCCAAAATCATAGGCCATTATATGGGCTAAAAGGGAATCACAATAAGTTGTTAAAAATATAGGACCTATGACACATACAATACTTGAGCAGTTCTATTGTTACCTAGTAGAGAGCAATGGTACATATACACACTAGCCAGCTCATTACAAAAACATGTCATATTAACCTCTTACGGATCGTATGCAGAGCCTGCCATGCCCACCATCCCACAGTGTGCTTGTCTTCGCTGCAAAATTTTAACTCGAGTATCGTCCCATCCACACATACAGACCCTTAGTATGAGGGCTGTAGTGCTTTTAATTCTTATGAGCCAACCTGCCCCGTGACACAGACCAAATCTCAAGTTAACACACAACTCATCAGCTGCTAACAACCATTCTGTAATGTGGATGCAGGCTAGCACCTTTTTCATCTGCTTTAGTCACTTCTCTGACCATAGGAGGTGTGGTCCCCTCATCTTCACTATAAATTACACATCCTCGTAAAACAGGTCTTGGATCTTGTATACCTATAAACTGGAAGGATGTGTGTTGAATGGGGGAAACAGAGCACAGGCAATATCTCCATATAACAAAAGATCATACCACTGCGATTCATATATGCAATGGGGAAGACTTGTGTTTCTTTCATATGGCAACAAGTGGTGTTCTTCCACTGGTAAGGAACAGAGTTAAGATTGAGTTGGAGCCTTAACTGAAAATGTCCAGACTGTCAGATGTTTGTCATTGTAACTGCAGTGTTCTAATGTCCTGGCTTGCACAAGTTGGTTTCTTTTATCACTGTCTCCTCGTCTGTTTCAAAGCAATGTTTTTAGTCTGAGAGTGGTGACTATGCTCCCCATTTGGAGAGAGCTGATTAAGCAGCTCCAGTGTGTGATGACACTTGGTCTCCTTTGACATGAAAAGTTTTTAAATATCTAAGAGAGAGATGGAAGAGTTGGCATCAAACTGCTCCAGACACAGCAGTGCTGTGTCTAGTTTCTGGTGGGGGTGTCACGCATCCGGTAGTAACAACAACAACAACTCCACCCCATCTCCGCAGGCGGCAGTGCCCTCCGCCCATGCAGCAGCGCCCTTCCCCCACCTAATCGTGCCCCAGGGGCCGGTGCCCCCTCCCCAGCCGCATGGTCGCCACGCTACTCCCGCCCGTACCTCCTGCCCGCTGTATCTGGCGAGCTCGGACTCGGTGAAGAGCCGCACGGGGGTGGGGGCCGGGGCCGGCTTGAAGCGCAGCTGCTGCTGCTCCGCCAGAGCGGCCAAGGCGGCCAGGCAGCCCAGGGCCAGGGAAAGCAGCCGCCCGGGCCCACCGGCCATGGTGCAGCGGAGGCGGCCCGGCTGCTCCGGGGCGGGGCCAGGGCCTGCGACGCGGGATCCGGGGAGGCTGTGGGCGGCATCAGCCCCTTTGGGGAAACACCCACCGCCCGCCCCAGCTCCGCCCGATCACCCCGCCCCGCACCAGCTCTGCAGCTCCCCCGCCTCGTCCCATCCCATCCGCTGCACCACAACCCCCCTCCACCTCCCTCCAAACCAGCCGCCCTGTCGCGTGTCCCACACCACAACCCCCCCCCCACGCTCCCTCCAAACCAGCCGCCCCCTCGCATCCCCCACACCGCGACCCCCCGTCTCCCTCCAAACCAGCCACCCCGTCGCGTGCCCCACACCACAACCCCACCCCCAGCTCCCTCCAAGCCAGTCACCTTCTCCCGTCGCCCGCACCGCAACCCCCACAGCTCCCTCCAAACCAGCCACCCCATTGCGTCCCCTACACCCAGGGCCAGCGCTTCCATTAGGCGACCCTGGGCGGTCGCCTAGGGCAGCAGGATTTGGGAGGAGGCGTTTTGCCATCCTTGGCAGCAATTCGGCGGCGGGGATCCTTCCGCTCCGAGTCTTCAGGGTGCTTTGGCGGAAATTCGGCGGCGGGTCCCAGAGCGAGTGAAGGACCCGCCACCGAATGCTCTGAGGAGGAGCACTGCCGCCTAGGGAGGCAAAAACCCTGGCACCGTTCCTGCCTGCACTGCAACACACCCATTTTGCTCTGGGTGGGGCCCATTCTTTCTGTATAGGCTCCTCCTTTTCCCAAAGGTTCCCCAGTTCTTCTTATATTTAAAACCTTCCCCCTCAGAACATTCTCTTATCCACACATTGATGCCCTGCAGTTCTGCCTGTCTTACTGGCCCTGTGTGGGGAATTAGAAATATTTCAAAGAAAGCTACCATGGAGATCCTGGACTTGAATCTCTTACCTAGTAGCCTAGATACGGTGTCCAGGACTTTTTCTACCTTTTCCTGTGGCATTGGTACCCACTGGCTCCTCCCTAGCACTGCACATAAGTCTGTCATAAGTCTGGCAGGCAGTTTACCATGTGGTCATCCCTTGGTCATTAGAAACCCAACTAACTATATTTTTACTAATCGAGTGGTATTTTAGGTGGCCATAACTTCTGCCCACAGGTTGGGGAACTGGAGACATTAATGGTAGATTACTTTACAGTTTTCTTTACGAAAAAGTCTTCCTTATGACCACATCCTAATTTTTTACCCAAAATTTTCTACATCAATCAGGTTACAATTCTTCATGCATTAGAATCTCTGAATTAATAAGACAATTAAGGACCAAGTTTAAATCCCATACAGGAATAGACTTCTTTAATTGTGGTTATATATTAATCAAAATCTTTCATAAACCTTGTCTTTGTGAGATGGGCAAATACTGAAAATCCCTCCACAGGTGAATCATAGGAACATAGAACTGGAAGGGACCTTGAGAGGTCATCTAGTCCAGTCCCCTGCACTCATGACAGGACTAAGTATTATAACCTGTCATGTTGGGTTATAAAGGTACACACACTGCTATATGTCCTAATAGTTGGAGACAATTTCTTGTCAGCATCTGTGGGGTTATTTAAATCTTCAAAATTAGGTTTTTAGTGTCTGCCTGAAGGTAAGCCCTAGCTGTTACGATGTTCAGAGAAGCCCCTATAAAGAATATCTATTGTACTGTGCTCAAAGTGGACTTAGTGTTTATTTGGAGACCTATCCTGTGGAACAGGGATATGGCTGGCTGTACTGCAGAGAATGTCATTGTATGACTGGCCCTTGAGCAGCTAGTCATCAAAATAGGGGAAGTCTATTATCCCTGGCCATCGTAGGTAAGCAGCTATCACTGCTATGATCTTTGGGAAAACCCTTGGGACAAAGAAGAGGTCAAAGGAAAACACTCAATACTGGAAGTGACCCTGACTGCTTGTAAAACAAAGAACCTTTTGTGAGAGGGGAGAATTGTGACATGAAAATATATGACCTGTAGGTTGAGCGCCATGAACCAATTCCTGGAATCTAACTGTGGAATAATATCTGAGAGTCACCATCCTCAATTTCTGTGATTCCACAAAGGTGTTTATCAGTCTGAGATCTAATATTGGTCTCTCCATCCTCTCTTTTTTTTAGGGTACCAGAAAATACTTGGAGTAGAATCCCTTCCCTCTCTGCTGGAATGCAACTGTTTCTATGTCTCCTATGCATAGAAGAGAGATGACTTCTTGTCTCAGTAACTGTTCATGAGATAAAGAGGGTCGGTAAAGAGGGTGGGGTGAGGGATAGAAGTGAAACAGATTGAGTAACCTGATGTTATGGCCTCCAACACCCATCTGTTAGATGTAATCTGTTCCCAAGCAGGTTGAAAATGGGAGAATCATCTCCAAAGGGAGGGAGGTGAGTGCAAGTGAACGTTCATGAGGTGGGGATGTTCCAAGCCCTCAACCAAGCCATCCAAATTGACGGTTGGATGAAGAGGACAGCTGTGTGGTGGTAGCAGTCACAGTAGGTAGTCTCTTCTTTTGACACCTAGGCCTGCCTTTCGGTGGTTCCGTAGGCCTAGGGTATGTAAAGAACTGAACTGGACGAGATCTTTGTGCCATTTGTGATCTGCTAAATTTTCTTTTGTTTGCAGGCATGTATATGCTAAGGGCTCTTAAGTGTGGCTCTGGAATCTTTCAAAGTCTGGAGAGATTCATCTGTTGACTCATAGGAGAATTTAAGTCCATCAAAAGGGAAGTCTTCTACAGTATTCTGGACCTCCCTAGGAAAACCAGATAGCTCTAGCCAAAGTGCTCTACTCATGACAACATCAGTAGATGTGCAGTGGGCTACTGTGTCTCCTGCATCTAGGGAAGCTATCAAAATCGGCTTTTTCTAAGAACTGACCTTCAGCTATGATGGTCTTGAACTGCTCACAGTGTTCTACAGGTAAGTGTTCACTAAAACTGTTGAATTTGTCATAATTGGAATAGTTGTACTTCACCATTAGAACTTGGTAATTTGCAATCCAAAATGGCAGAGTGGCTGAAAAGTAGCTCTTACAACCAAATAGGTCAAGGCACTTCTAGTCTTTATCACAGGGTGCAGACTTTGAAAGATGTTGCCTGCCATGCTCGTTGATAGCCTCCACAGCTAAAGAATTTGGTGGAGAGTGGGAGAACAAAAATTCCACGTATTTTGCTGGGATGTAATACCGTGAGCCCGCTTGCAAGGGGGTGGTGTGGTGGCAAGGGTTTGCCATATGGTTTTGGCAGGATCCAGTAGAGCTTCATTCACTCGTAGAGTTACTCAACCAGAGGATGTTGTATGTAAAATGCCAAAAGTTTGTTGCGATTCTTAGGCCTTTTTTAAGGGAATCTTTAGCAAGTCAGTATGCTTCATCAGTTCCTGACACTGTTTAAAATCATTAGCCAAAGAAGGTAGAGGAGGCATTACAGCCTCATATGGTGACAATGATATTTGTTTGAGGTGTCACCTCCTTGTCCACTCTGACCTCTTGCTCCTCAAAAGTTTCCTCTCGAGGTTGAGGTTGTTGAAGAGAAAGTGATGGAACAGGCAGGTGTCTTCTTCTGTATTCCCCACGAGTGACACTAGGAGTCCTTGAGAACTGACAGTAATAGAGAGCCCATTAAGAAGGGCATTGAGGGGGTCCATAAGGTAGAGGATGGAGCATCCACTGCTGGTCATATCATGAGCCCTGCCTCACTGGTAGTTTCTCCCTTGGAATTTCCCTTTGAGGGTAGGTAACAGGGAAGAAGTCTCTTCTATGGAAGGTAGGAGATCCCTGGACAGAGATCCGGGAGTCAGAGGACTCCTCCTTAGAGTAGTCCAAAGGTGGGGTGAACACTGAAGGTGAAGATAGTTGTCTGCCTCGTGTGATACGTACCGGAGAGCTGCTCACTGGGGCTGGGTCCAAGAGATACAGGGAAGTAAAGGATGCTTTGTACACCCACATATCCTTGCTTTCTGCCGGGAAATGCACAGAGCAATGTGATGCTGTAGTGTTGTAGTGTACATCTGAATTTATCTATTTGCTATTATTATGAGAATTTGGATTAAACCTCCTGCCTACTCTTTGTTTCCCAAGTACTAACACCCCAATGAATTGTACAACCAAGTACTTTATTAAAAACAAATACAGGTGTCCCAGCTGCCAATACTAGAGAGTGCAATTGTTAATAAAAGTGAAAAGTGCAACGTGCAATGAAAACCAACAGTGATGCCAATCTGTGCAATGTCACTGGAAATGGAATTGCCACCACCAGTGTAGCTGTTCTCTACTGTGGCTGGATGGGGACAGAGTGAACAGGGTATACATCTAAGCATACACACTTCCATTCCAGGAGTTCATCAACTGAATCTTTGCCTACCCTGCCCCCCACAATTGTCCAGTGGCTACATTGGCTGCAGGATGTGAAGTGTGGAGGAGGGTCCTCTGGGAATGGTGTTGATGCAGGTATTAGGGTCTGCTGCTTGCTGACCATCACAATGAGCAATCACTCAAACATTTCCCTCTGCTGCTCCCAGTCTTGGTCAATGAGTTCCCTGTGCTGCTGTCAGCTCCTGCTCCATTCTCACCCTGTCATGCTCAAACTACTCTGCCACCAGCCTCTCCTCCCTCTCCCTGTCCGTTACCTCCCTTTTCCTCTTCTGCTTCTTCATTTGCTGCTGGAATTTCAGCTGTTGGTTCAACCTGTGGTCAGAATCCCTCTGCATGTCCTGCAGCAGGTCGTCCCTAACCCTTTGTCTTTTCTCCTGTTGGTTCAGTGTCCTTGCCCAAAGAGGCTAGGTGGCTGCCTTGGTCCAGCAGAGATAGAAGGCCCTGCCAAGGCAATGAAAGAGGATATTACTTTTTTGTCCAGGAAAGAAAAAAAGTTCCTTCCCTTTTCATGTTCCGCATCAAAGTAAGGCCACAAGTTAATACTTTTATCTACCTGGTAGCATGCCTTTATTCCATCTGCCCACATTTGCCTGTTCAGAAGCAGCTGCATTTCAGGTCACCAGCCCGTGAAGTAAATCTTTTATATTTATTTTATTTTAAAAAATCAATACATGTTTTTGGCCTAGACAGGAGGGGCTTGGGGCCCACAGGCCAAGGACCTTTTACCAGTAGTGGTCTTAACACTATTTCAGGCAGTGGCATGTAGGAGACAGACCTCAATATTAAGTCAAAAATAGTTATCAGTAAAACTATTATAATTTATTCTTATAATATTAGGTCATTACAAACTTGCTTGCATCTTTATGAATTTAAATATACTCAATATTTATACAGGATGCTTAGAAAAATAACAACACAATCTTACGTTATCAGTTCCTTATTTAATTGTATGAAATGTTCAAGTTAAAGAAATCTGCCTTCTGCCAACTAGTGACAAACTACCAAAGTGTCAAAGGAGGATAACCACCCCACAGCCATAATATCTCTGTGTTTACTCTGAAATGCAGCTTTTATAAGTTCTATCGTGCCTTAACTTTCTATATTTTATTTTATGTTATGTTTTGAAAGATGTATGTAAACCTTGGTTGTTATGATTGATGTTTTCTATAGAATGCCTTAGTGAAGTTTTTAATTGCAAGTAGTAAATGTACTGCAAACGGCAGATTTTAAATTTAAGGGTCATTTTGGACAAAGGACCAAAGCACATCTGGTATGAGATGCAAGTCTACTATAGAGATGAGTTTTATCTCAAGCAAAGGACTTTGTAGGAATGTTTAGGAATTGTATTATCAAGAGCCATAAAAGTAGGCCTTTTACAATCCCACTCTCTTTGCAAGAAAAAAAATGTTGGTTTCAAACACACAGAAAATATGCTAGAAAAAATCCTATTAAAATTAACCCTTTTTATAAACTCTCTAAAGACTTAATTCTTCAAATATTAAGGAAAACATTTATGGCTGGGGAATGTTTTGTAGCAGATCTTTGTAACTTCTAAGTTCATGTTCCACTTGAACATGGGTGAAAAACCTATGCCTGTCATTTAAATGCTTAAGAGTTCATCAGGTTCTTTTGAGATGTATATTTGTCTCTAACTGCAAACCTTCTAATGTAATAACTTCCTTATATCATTGTATGTGAACAGTGGCATGGTTTATGTGCAATATAGTAAGGTCATTTGATGCTACAACTGGTTACTCATATAAAAGCCATTTGAGTATAGAATATTTATATTAATTGGGGAATTTAATTGATTATCTGGCTTAAACTATTTCCTTACCAAACTGAGAGAGACAAGTCACCTATCCAAAGATTGTTAAGAAGGGACAATAACTTCTTTAATGACTATTCAAGTTTAAAAACTTTCTTTAAGGAGTAATAAAGTTTAAAAAATACTTTTGAAAACTGAAAACCATGATATACGACATACAGGTATTTGCACCCGTTTGAAGCAGAATTTCAACTCCAATAAGCTAGCAAGGAACTAAAGGGATATATCAGAAAATGGACTGAATAAAAGAAAACTCAGACTTCAAATATGTTCTGATAATCTCCCACAACAAAGGCAGTATAACTATCAAGTTGAGGAAAAATTACAACCCTGCTGCATCTGTTGTAGCAGATCATCTATGCATGAGCTGAAACTGCTGACAATCTCAGAAAGGTGCCGAGCCAGTGAAAGAATGACAGCTGCTAATTTTTTAATTCAGCCAAGCTCTGAAATAGGCATGCCTTCCTCCTCCCGTAAAGCTACGAAAGGAAAGGAATATAAAATTTGCTGAATTAAGCAAACCAGCAGCACCAGGCTGCCCCCATTCTTCAACTTTACAGTACTCCTCACAACTCCTCCTGTTCATCTCTGCAAGCAAACAAGTAACAGCTATTAGCCAAAGAGCAAAAATGAGCGTAGAAGAGCATCAAGAAGAAGCAGCAACTTCTAGTTCAGCATCCAGGGCTAGATTAAGTTAGCAAAGCACCCCAAGGAATCAGATATAAATTTTCTTGTCGTGATTTTAATGGCATATTGAAATGCTATTGTAATTTAAGGTATTAAGAACATCTGTTGTTAAATACCCTATTGTTTACATAATGTATTTCTGGAGAGAAGACATAAGCTAACTTAGTAAACAGGCAGAATTGTGGGATTTAATTTGGATTTAAGATGCTTGATATTAATTTACTTGTCTCAAGACAACTCCCTGAATGACTTTTTTTAACTGAGTTAAATATTTTATTTGGTTTCATAGGACTTAGTTAAGATTGCTCACCATTAATCATTAATAAGCTATTTAAGTTATCAATAATATTGATATTAGGGCTCTGGGAGCATTCATGCAATCTAGCTGGGTGTGGGGCTCCACATGTGGTTGTGCTGAGTGATAACAGCGCCTGGAGGGGTTTGCTGCTTGTTATTATCACAGCATTGTGAGAGACAGCCAAGGCTGGAGAGTTAAGGGGACACAGTGGTTCCACAGTCCCATGCTGAACCCTGGGGATCCCGTCACAAATATATCAAAAAGAATTCACCAACCCTTAAATTAAATTATTTTGCCCATCTATAAACTGCTTTAGTTATCTATGACAGAACCATTATTGCTTCTTTGTGTGTTTTCTTTCTTTCTTTAATCATAATTATTACCTCTGACTGTATTGTTATTATATTGCTTGGTTTTAATCATGGTACCCCGAAGGCAAGGTGTAATCCACACACCTCCAGGGTGTCATGTTCTGTCCCATCTAGTGACTCCGAGACCACTTAGAGAGAGAGATCAAATGAGTCTGCTCTACAGCCTTAACTAACAGCCTGTTGGCTTTTAGCTCATGAGGTAGAGGCTCATGCACTAAGCTCCGAGGTCCACAGTTTGATCCTGCCCGCCAACTACCAGGATCTGTCAGCATTACAATGGCAGAGAATCCCTTGTGACTAAAATAGTGGGAGTCACATCTCTGAAGTCATATTGAAAGACGATTACTAAGATTTGGCCTACCATTTCTTGTTTCTCTAAACTATAAATTTTCATTGATTTTTGAGATAAAATCACTTGGTGCTCTACAACTTGAAACATTCCTTTCTATCCCACAGGCAGCATTAGAAGATGTTAATCTGCTGAAGACTCCAGAGTAGAAGAAGGAACAATTTTTCCAGGCCTCTGGTAGAAGACGGCCATCTGTCTATGCAAAGGAGATATTTTATCACCTGGTGATTGATCAGCATATCAGTGACTGGAGAGGACTATGCAGTGTTGTTGTAGCCGTGTTGGTCCCAGGATATTATAGAGACAAGTTGGGTGAGGTAATATCTTTTATTGGACCAGCTTCTGTTGGTGAGAGAAACAAACTTTTGAGCTTACACTACTATGCTGCTGGGGTGGAAGGAAGAGAATGGGGAAAGTTTTGCCCTGCCCAGGTATATCATAGATTGTCTTGAGTTTCTTGAAAGAGAACTCGAAATAATTAGGCGTCAGCAATTCCTCCCAACATATATTTGTGAGCTTCTAAAGTGCTTTGGGATGTCTCTGAATGAAAAATACTATGTAAAGGCTAGATTTGGTATTCACTGCCCAAATCTTTAACACTAAAATAAGTTCAACTGGCAATGCCTCATGCACTTGCAGAATGGGAAGTGCACCTATACTTAAACCTCTGAAAACAAGGAAGTGCACACAGCTCAGCCTTGCAACTTACATTTTGGCTCCCTGGAACTGAGGATGTACTGTATATTTCAGCCTGGACCGTCCTATAATCAGGCATAAGAAATGACTAAGTAAATGTGACATTTCATATGATGTGTTGTGCCCCACAGGATTGTATTCTCATTTGTCTGCATGCATTCCCAACTGGCCTTCACTGTGTAGGGGACAACTGTACTGACTGACACAAGATTATTTGCAGCAGGTTGCCACAGCTCACATGGCAATATGAGAAGTGCATCTGCGCCCAAAGGAATCACTACACAGACCCCCCGTTTCTGTGCTGTTTCATTGGTTGTGCAAGCAGAGGAGTACAATAATCTATCATCACTACAGGGCAGAGGTTAGTGCAAAGAGGCTGTTCCAGAAGGAGTCCTTAGGACAAAGGTCAGGGGGTAGTAACATCTGGTAACTATGGGGTGGTTTGGGCAGAGCAGGTGAAGTGGTCGAGTACAGGTCAGGTGTAGCCAGCTGGTGTTCACTAAGCCTGCCCTCTAAATGAGATGTTTGCCTTACTGAGGATATGGTCTGACAGTTTCTCCTCCTGTACCGATATGCTGCATGCCCATGGTGCACTTTATAGTCTGAGGAGCAGTGTCAGTGAGGAGCAGTGTTGATTTCTTGACCACACTGGTTCATTATGAAATATATTCCAGAGGCAAAATAAACCAACATCAGTCAGATTTATTGGTCTAAGCCAATAATAATACAGTGAAGGAAAAAGGTTCTATATCAGCGTTTCTCAAACTGGGGTCCGCGAGAGAACTCCGGGGGTCTGCAGGCCCCGCTGCTCAACTCCTCCCGCTCCATCCAAGGCAGACTCCCTACCTGCCCTGGTTCCATGTGGCTCCCAGAAGTGACCACCAGGTCCCTGTGGCCCTTAGGTACAGGGGTGGCCAGGGAGGCTTCGCACACTGCCCCCACCCGAGTGCTGGCTCTGCAGCTTCCATTGGCTGGGAACCGTGACCAATGCGAGCTGTGGGGGCGGCGCCTGCAGGCACGAGGGCAGCGCACAGAGCCTCACTGGCTGCGCCTCTGCCAGCGGCTGCAGGGACCTGGCTGACGCTTTCTGGGAGCTGCAGTAAGTGCCGCCGGGACCCTTCATCCCTCATGCCCTCGCACCTCAACCCCCTGCCCCAGCCCCGAGTCCTCTCCTGCACCCAAATTCCCTCCCAGAGCCCGCATCCCCCCACCCCAGCCCAAAGCCCCCTCCTCTACTCCAAACCTATCATCCCTGGCCCCAGCCCAGAGCCCATACACCCAGGCGGAGCCCTCACCTCCCCCCACATCCCAACCCCCTGCCCCAGCCTGGTGAAAGTGAATGAGGGTGGGGGAGAGCGAGCGACTGAGGGAGGAGGGATGAAGTGAGCAGGGGCTTGGAGAAGGGGTAGGGCAGGGGCAGAGCCTCGGTGAAGGAGCAGGGGGTCCACGAAAAATTTAAAATCAAAATGGGGGTCCTCAGGTTGCTGAAGTTTGAGAACCGCTGTTCTGTATGATACCAGTCTCGGGGAAGCTGTCTCATGGAGTGATGTTATATTCACCTTATGTGGAAGGCGTGCTCCCAAAGGTATACCGCTTAAAGCCCTCGCTTTATATCCTCCTTGTTTACCAGTAAAATGTACTATATTTTAATTTTAATTTATGGAGATATCCCATCTCCTAGAACTGGAAGGGACCTTGAAAGGTCATCGAGTCCAGCCCCCTGCCTTCACTAGCAGGACCAAGTACTGATTTTGCCCCAAATCCCCAAGTGGCCCCCTCAAGGATTGAACTCACAACCCTGGGTTTAACAGGCCAATGCTATCCCTCACTGAAACTAGATTTAACCAACTAGCTTTTTACCTTGCTTTTCTAGTACCATGGTGTACCCTTTATCTTTGTTCTGAACATATGCAATTCTAGGTACTAATGGGCATGAAAACACCTCCGAGGTCTGTCCCAGGGTAGATAGGCTTGTGAGGGTAACTCCCTTTCTGTTGCTATGATAAAGTAAACATATGTCCTGATCCTGACAGCTTTCCTATCTACTTAAGACACAGCCTACTTTAACTAATGCAAGGTGTTATGGGATACATAGCATAAGTGAACAGATTATAAAGGTACAGGCCAATTTAGGCTATGTAACTGCTATATTTATGCTTAACGTGTAGGGTGCAGATAAAACATACTATCAGTATAACATATATATACTAGCCAGCATATATTGGTCAACAGCAGGTTGAGGCATGACTCAAAGAGGGCAGAACTAAAGTTGGAAGGAGGGGGTGGGGGGGAAGTATGTACTGATTTTCAGAGGTTCAAGTTTGTTTTACCATAACTGTTTATTCCCTGGTTTTTAGAGATTTAAATATAGGCGCCTTTGTTCTAGAAGGGTATTAGTAGGCTTGGACGAATGACATTTTTAGCAGTGAATGCTGATAAACATCAGCTTCACTGTACACACACACACACACAACCCAACAAAAATATTTCCATCAGTAGTAATCAAAATTTACAGATAGCCAAATTAAGAAAAATGCTACTTGAGAATTTGATTTAAGGATATTTACTCTGTATATTTTCATGTGATGTTGACAACTTGTGTTTTAATGGTTATAAACCTTTTACTTTTTGAATCTTAACTGACTCCCCAAACACCCAAGAACTTCCCACAACTGTGAAAACTTAAATAGAAAAAATAAACATCAGTATTATTTGTTGAAATTACACAATTGAATTCTGCCAAGCCTAGGTATGAGGCAATGGCAGGCAGCCTGAACTCTGCATTAATAAGTTTTGGGGCCATGAATTTCCCATATTTTTTGAGGAAATTGTGTGTGTGTGTGTGTGTGTGTGCGCCCTAATCCTGGCCTCTCCATGCGTTCCCGCCCCTCCCCCCAGCGCTTCCCCTGCCACCAAACAGATGTTTGCCGGCACTCAGGTCGCTCCAGGGAGGGGCGGGGCTGCTGCGCACTCGGGGGAGGAGGCGGGGAAGAGGCAGGGGCGTGGCTTAGGGGAAGGGGGTGGAAGCGGGGTAGTGCGGAGCAAAGGCAGGGCCCTGCACTCCCCCTACACATACCCCCCCCGCCCTGACTCCTGAACCCCCACATCCCCACCCCTCACACCAAATGGGAGCTCCTGCACCTCCCCCCCCACATTCCCATCTGCACCCCTCGCACCAAATGGGAGCTGCCCCAGGTAAGCGCTCCACACCCCAACCTCCTGACTCCTGCACCCCCCCCACACGCTCCCAACCCTGACTCCTGCACCCCTCACTCATCCCCCACACTGCCCACTCCTGACTCCTGCACCCCCCCCACACCCCTCGCACCAAATGGGAGCTGCCCCAGGTAAGTGCTCCACACTCCAACCCCTGCCCTAGCCCTGAGCCCCCTCCTGCAGCCTAACTCCCGGCCAGACCCTGCACCCCAATGTTTTTGTACATTTTTTTTTATAAAGCGCTTATCCAAAGCGCTTTACAATAGTTAGCTAACAGTACAAACAATATTTGGAAAGATCATTAAGTGGTCTGCTGAGACCCTCAGTGATTTTCAAGTGGTTTCTGGAAAAATAAGTTAGACCACACAAACAATCAAGGTACCTCACTTTATTTTCATTTACTTCCTTTTACTTATAGGAGGAAGATGAAGAAAAAAAGAATGAAAAACAGGGGCAGGGGGGAGATAAGAAAGAATGTTCTTTTTCTTGGCAGGGTCCCAAGGAGGGGCCCCAAAAATGAAGCTCAGCACAGGGCCCCAGTAACTCTTAATCCACCACTGCCCAGCTCCCAGAATCCTGTGATTATGTGATACCCTCCCCTTTCATTTTTTTAAAAAGCAGGTTGCCAGGCCTCTTAGACGAAGAGAGAAACTTGAAACTCTGAACCCTAAATGTTCAAAAAACAGAAGGCAAATAAAAAAGAAACCATCATTATTATGTTAAGCCCATCTCGTGTTTTTTGGGGAGGCCTGACATCATTTTGAATTCCTGGGAGTGGCAGTTCTCATATTCACCCCGCCTCGCCTAGCGCTCACGCGGGGAGACCCTGGGGCTGCTGTCTCTAGTGGAGAAATCCTGTTGAACGTGGTGGTGCGCACCGCAGACGTGCTGCACCCTGCACAGTCCATAGGCTGCTTTAAACCATCCGCGGCTGCAGCGCAAAGGCTTGTTGGGCGTTCCGCACGTCAGGACAGAGCAGGGGCCCGGCCCGGTCGGTTTTAAACTACATCTCCCAGAATCCGGCGCGTCTCACGCCTATGCTGCCACCGATGAGCCTGAGAGAAGAGGGTTCGGGTAGCCGCGGCGGCGGCAGCAGCAGGCGGAGGAGATAGCGGGTGAGAGGCGCGCGGGGCGGCGCCGGGTGGACGCTCCGTGAGGGATCGGTCTGGTACTGCAGAGCCTCCGGCGCCTCGCTGTTGTGCGCCTGCCGCTCCCCCTCTCAGCCCCCGGGGGCTGCTGCAGAGGCTGGTTCCAGCTCCCGTCGCTGATGCCATGCTAAGCCAAGAGATCTCCGCATCCTACCAGGAGGTACTGGCGGGCGGCGGGGGAGGGGAGGGAAAGAAGTTGATTTGACCGTGTGAGTACATGTGCGTAAGGAATGCAAGCCGCCTTGCACGCCAGTGGGGTCTTTTGTTTGCCGAGCAAACTCCCAAACGCACTGAGCAGCTGTGCACCGGAAAACGCTTTTGCGGCGGTGGTTGAAAAACGGCAAGACAGCGACGGAGATAAGAGCAAGAAGGTGCCGGCTGGATTCCTAGCAGCCTTTTATGGTGCAGCCCTTTCTAGCTAGGTGCAACAATCCAGGGATGTGCACATTGAGGGTAAACCCCAAATCTACAATGAAATAACACTGCAGCTAATTGCCGTGTAGCTAGGGCTCAAGATGAACACAGCTCTAACTTGACCGTATGTGTGTTGTTATTCCCCTTTCAGTCAATTTAAAAGCAATTGCAGTATATTCATCTTGGCTCCAGTCACTGCCCTTATTAAACATTCATCTTCTGGTTATCCAGATCTTCAGTGACTTTGATAAGTCACCTAAGGCGTAGAAAGTCAACTAGGTCACGTTTTAATTTTAGAGCCATAGGAAAACTGGCTGGCTATTGGCTTTATGTTGCCCTAGGCAAACTGGAAAGTGTCCATTCCTTTCAACCTGCAGTCACCCAAAGAGATCTCCTCATGAATAATTTTGCTGCCCAAGGCATCCACCAGCTTTCTCTGTATGGTAGAGCCCTGATCCCTAGGGTCCTTGTATTTAAATACATGGGAAACAAACATGATGGTATTTGATACAGCCAAATACATATTTGTATTTAAAAACAAGGAAATGTCAGTTAAAATACAGTCAATTGTAATATTGTAGAAAGTAAAGGTACATACAGTTGACAGGTGATTTTATCACTTTTATAATAAAGGAGGGGTCTGTCAGACATGAAAAGTGATACTGAAGGCCCAATTGTAATCCTGTGCCCAGTCTGCCTATCAAACTCATATATAACATAATATTATACTTGCTTGTACTTGTATCTTTCTTGGTAGATGCATAGAAATTGTCTTGTTTAAGTTAATTGGCAATAAAAACCTGCAGCTGGTCACCTTTGCCGTCACCACACAGCTGTTTACCTCATTTTAGAAAGTTGCAGGCTACATTTGGCCTTGGGCTTGCACTGTAGGAAGCCCTAGTTTAGCCTATCAACATTTATCAGTTCTTCTCCCATTTCTCATGTTAGACTAGAAGACATTAAAAGATTTAAATAACCTCATGCACAAACAAGTGAAACAGAACATTTCTCTCTTTATTTATACCCCCCAGCAGAGTTTTCTCTGACTGGATGAAATTCACTTCACTCACCTAAAGGTAGGAAGTGGGTGAAGAGCATGTGGTGCTGCTATTTCTGTAACCGCCCCTGAAGCATGGGTTCTGTATCCCCCCGATCTGCCCCTATCTCCCAAGTCAGTGTTGCCACCCATTAGGTGGCTGCTACCAGCCCTCCTCCGCTCAGTGCAGAGAGCCCCCTTACATTGACCTTTCACACCGGGATGAATTTCGCCCACTGTGGCTTCTCCTCTTCTTTGTGTGTTTTCCTTTTATCCTTCTTTTTCTTTTCAGCTGAGGGGCATAGAACATCTAAATGTGAGCTTTCCTTTGCTCATTTGACTCTAGCAAGGTTCCACGCTTAAACAATGATTTCCTTCCACAATGCCAATGACCTGAGTTATATTAGCTTAGACAGAGATCCTAGAATTGTCACCTTTAGTTTTATCCTGGGCTGCCAGTTTCCTCATGTAATTCTACTTCCTCCTCTCTGCACCAACAACAGTTAGGAGTGCTGCATTCGTTCTAGAGCAGTGGTTCCCAAACTTTAACAACCTGTGAACCTCTTTCACTAAAATGTCAAGTCTCGCAAACCCCCTCCTAAAAATGAATATTTCCAGGGAATTTTTTCCTTTACCTGAGTATAAATTATAAAAGCAGTGATCTTGGAAATATAAAATTTGTTTTTGTGACATGCTTATTACACACTATTTATTATTAATTACTATTTATCATTACCGTATTTTTATTACATTATGAAAACAAGACAACAACTCTT